CCTGACCACCAAGGACCCCGTCACATCCTTGCCCTCAGTGAAGCCCTACGCGTGGAAGCCGTAAAGTGCACACTTGGCTTCCTGCTCCATAGTCATGGCCGTCCACAAGCTACATACTCTCTTCAGCTCCTACACCTTGTGAAGTTCGTCGCACAGCCAGCGTGCTGCCTCCGGATACGTGTCGAGTGCATCGCGGTGAAATCGATACAGCCTTTTTTTTATTCTTATGAGCAGAAGGCACGAGATGCAGTCGACAGTGACAGAAAAGGTTCGGAGGTTTAGTTGCCAGACCAACAAATCATCTGGATTGCCCCTGCAAAGAACTCAGAAGTAATTTAGACTACCTCTAGAAAGAAATGCTTGCTTTTGCAGAGATTGCTTTCTTAGTTGCTGCTTGAACCAGGGATATTGTTGTCATGGACATTGTTTCATTTTACAAATGCTTCAAAGCGTCTTGCCTTCTGCTCCATTTTATTATCTCTTTTATGGTACTTCATCAAAGTTAGGTGATTGTGTTATCTCAAGACAGTGCACATGTAGTTTGTTTTGAAAATTGCTTTATTTCTTAAAGAAAAACCTGTGACTTCATGAATAAAAGTGTGATAACATGGAATGTAATATTTCATTCTTGGAAGTAAAACTGAGCATCGACTGGAACCATGTAAGCAATTGGGCAATCTTAAGTATATATCACAGATATCTTGTTGAACACTCTGGTCTTATTCGAAAGGAAAAAAATATATATATATTCTCTGACTAGCATACCACCATATAAACACCGGACCACTTTGAAAGAATTATCACAGATGTTGCGCCAAACATTCTTATTTGAGCACAGCAATAGCAAGTTCTCGAAAGATAAAAAAATTGTTTCTGACTAAAGCAGCCGTCACTCGCGCGCTCCCCGTTGGTTCCGCCGACCCCTCCGCTGCCCCCGGCACACCCGGCTCCTCGTGGTTCGACATTTTGGTTTGAAGAAGGCGCGTAGCGCACATCCCGCATAATATTAGAACAACTTTCTCTCCAATTAATTCTTAAATGTATTGCAAAAGGGTACAAAAAAGCGGTTTGTTTTAACAACGCCCAAACGGTTTTGATTGTTTTTCAATACTTTTACCTGTACTAGTAACAGATGCGACGGCCAGCGACGCACAGGATTGGTTGCCGTTCCTTCGCTAAACGCAGGAACTGCTCCCCGCGTCGTAGTAAATCCTACCCCGTATCCCGCACGTAGGGACGCCCCAGGGAATGCGTAGCTACTTCCGCTCGTCGGTGGTTGGCTCCGGACGTCGCTGAAACGGGTGACGGGTGTCAAGTTTGCGATGACGTAGCGGCGTCAAAGTAGGCAGAGCCGCCACGTGAGTGTTGCTAGGATACGCTCCTCCTTTGCATTACGTCACTTCCATGTATCTTTTCTCAAATGTCCAACCTAGCGATCCAGCACTTCCATCAAACGCGCGCGTCCGCTCCGAGTGTTAACAGGTATTTACGTGGCTCTTGCTGACACTCGTAGTTCAAACGTATCTTTTTTAACGTCGGCTCGCTCCTGCATCTCCGAGACCGCGAAAAACGCCGCGGCAATTTGTTTCCATCTACGTCGCTTTGCAAACGACTGACACTGGCCGCCTTTTGCCAACAATGACAGTTGGGTTGACTTCTGGAGTCTTCACCGGAAGACTCGCTGCACTTCTCAACAGGCATACCGGTGTATGGGACTAGTCCCATGCTGTCGCTGTAGCGCAACATATCTCGTTGAACTTCGCTCAGCTGCGATGCGGCGATGAGAGGCGCCGATTCAGAAAATACATCGGTGACATCGGCGCAGTAAAACCTACCGGCGCACCCCAACTCGTCGCCGCTAATGCTCCCATCTCCTACTGCCGAGAGAAGTTCCGGTTCCGGAAATAGCGTACGTCACGGCTTGTTTTGCGGTCAAGAAAAAGTCGATATTTCATTAATTTTTTGTGTAGAAGTTAATAAACCGAGACGAAAACGGATGCCTGTTCGGCATTCAGTGAACATTGACGGTTTAATGTAAAAGTTATCTGGAAAAAGTAAAAAAGTCATTTCATGGTCCCGCCGACGCCAACCCGCCGACGCCGTTGAAGAATGAGGGGTCTCGCCGCACACGAAAGGAGGGGAAAAGTATTTGGGAGGGAACTAAGCTCACTCTCGGTTTTTAGCAAACAAACCTCGGCGCCTCGGGACACCTTGCCAGTGAGTCCTTTGACTTCCCTCCTTGATGCGCGTCTGCTAGTTGTTAAGGCCCGTTCACACTCTTGCGACTGCTTGCGACCTCTTAAACCTGGGTTCCTTAAAACTTCTTAAACCAGAAAACACACTGGCACCATCTATTGGGAAGCAGTGTAAACTCGGCGGTCCGGCATATTTTTTTTTATTTCTCGCGCAATATCCTTTCTTTTTTGGCTCGAAAAGCTTTTGTCAATGTTATAAACGAGCCTTTCTATGGGTATTACGCACATTTGACCTCGGAAATCCCGCAAAACCTTCGCTTTTGTGAAATGCAGTTCTAGGGTCACCGCATAGATGGCGCCACAATGTCAGTGTGTTCCTACCTCGTTAGTGTGTTCCCTCATTCTAGAAACATTTAAGAAGTTGTAAGAGATCTCGCCTCTCTCAGTCGTACTCGGTCGCAAGAGTGTGAACGGGCCTTTAGACAAAAACAACGTACCGCTCGAGTTATTTCGTCTGCCCTCTCTGAAAGGCCAAGTCGAGCTCGCTCGTAAAGACCTGCACTTCCGAAAGTCGCAGGAAAGGTAAGACAGACGCAGACGACGTTGCAAAGGAGCAGACGACGCTCAGATAGGGGGTCGGGATCAGCCAATCAGGGCTCGGCGTTCTGACGTCACCGCTACTTCCTTTCTCATGCGCAGAAGACGAAAATGAGCCCACTTGCGAGGCGTATAATAGCAACCGGTGCTGGCGCCCTTCCGTCACTTCCACGCGGCACGGCGGCACTTTGATCTGGTTCATACAGATAAAGTAAAGCCCCCATATACTGAAAGGTAGGGCAAACCACTGGCTGAAATGGGGAGAAGAAATTTTTCCCCGCCCATGCCCTTTCTCTCTCGAAAGTTCTCTTTCCCCTCGCTTCAGTTGGATTGGGAACGACACGTGACCGTCGCTTTCCCATGATCCCGCGCCATTCGGTGGTCTGCTAGAAACCGGCGCCATCGGTGGCTCCATTGCCTACAACCACACCGAAAGTTTCTTTGTTTTTTTACAATTTTTGCAGCAACGCGATGCCATCATGCTGCGCTGTGCATTGTACAAACAGCATTGCGAAAAGGAAGAAACATTTTGCCGTTACGACGAGAAAAGAAAATCTTCAGCAACGAAGACAATGGCTACACCGGATCGGTCGGAAAAGCTTGGACAGCCTCCAACGGAGAGTTTGCCAGGTAAGTCATTGTAAACGATGATATTGTAGTGAGTGCGCAGGCGAGCTGGTGGAAATTAACCATTCTGATGTTAGCCTGAGACTGAGGCAGGAAAAGAGGAAGTTTCAAAGTAGAAGAAAAAGGAACAGTCGAGGATACGTCTCTAACACAGCTAAAGACAAGTTTATTCGGTCACCCTCTTATATACACTCCACAATCTTCACCACAGAACCTTCGCGAAGGTTCTGTGTTACTAGTCCCACTATTGACGAGGCTCAATTGATATGTTGGTTACTCTTTTTAGAGCACAGTTCTTTAGCACCCCTTTCCGGCTTGAGCGGCGTCGCCGTCGCCTTCAGCGTAACCACGCGGTGCATGATGGGTAAATTTCCCCGCTAAATCTAGCGGAAAATTTACTCTGCTAAATTTAGCGCAAATTTTTCCTGCTAACTCTAGCGGAAAATTTCCCCCGTTAATTTTAGCGGGAATATTTGCTCGCTAACTTTAGCGGGAAAATTTTCCCGATAAATCTAGCGAAAAAGTTTCCCCGCTAAGTTTAGCGAAAAATTTTTCCCACCAAGTCTAGCGGAAAAGTTTCCCCGCTAAATTTTGCGGAAAATTTTTCCTGCCAGATCTAGCGAAAAATTTTTCCCGCTATATTTAACGGAGAAAATTTTCCCTTAGATTCAGCGGGAAAAATGTTCCGCTAAATTTACCGAGAAAATTTTTCCGCTAGATTTAGCGGGGAAATTTTGCCACTAAATATAACAAAAAAAATTTTCTGGTAGACCTAGCGGAGAAAATTTTTCGCTAAATTTAACGGGGAAAATTATCCGCTACAATTAGCGGGGAAAATTTTGTTCTAGATTTGGTGGAAAAAAGTTTTTGCTAAATTTAGCGGGGAAATTTTTCTGCTAAATATAGCAGGGAAATTGTCCGTTAGATTTAGTGGGGAATATTTTCTTCTAAATTTAGCGGGAAAAATTTTTCGCTACATTTAGTGGGGACAATTTTCCGCTAGATTTAGCAGGGAAATTTTTTGCACTAAAATTACCAAGAAAAATTTTCCTTCAAATTTAGCGGAAAAAATTTTCCACTAAATTTAGCCGCGAAAATTTTCCGGTATATCTCGCGGAGAAATTTTTCTGCTAAATATAGCGGGGAAAATTTTCCGTTAGATTTAGCAGGGAAAAGTTTCAGCTAAATTTGGTGGGGAAAATTTTCTGCTAGATTTAGCGGGCAAATTTTTCCGCTAAATATAGCGGGGAATATTTTCCGCTATATTTAGCGGAGAAATTTTTCCGCTAAATTTAGCGGGAAAAGTTTTCCGCAAGATTTGGTAAGGAAAATTTTCCGTTAGATTTAGCGGGGAAATTTTTCCGGGATTAAATTGGTCGTCGCTTGGATTAAAATGAGCGGGAAAACCTGTAGTAAAGCTATCTGAAAACTAATTGGGTATTTGAAATCACCATTGAGAAATACATCAATATCCTAAATTTCGGCACGATAAATAAAAAATTTAGAAAAAGTTAAAGACCCTCGTTTCCCGTTAAAGACTGTTTTCGATAATAGTGGATCAGACTAGCATTATGAGAGAAGGCTTTGGGGGCACTGCTTGCACTTAAATGACTTTTCACCTGTATGTGTTCGATTATGGTTTTGTAGAGAGGAATTTTGAGCAAAGGCTAAGGGGCACTGATTGCACTTAAATGGCTTTTCACCAGTGTGTGTTTATGATTTCTCAGAGCAGAATTTCGAGCAAAGGCTCGGGGGCACTGCTTGCACTTAAATGGCTTTTCACCAGTGTGCGTTCGATTATGGCTTTGAAGATCGGAATTTCGAGCAAAGGCTTGGGGGCACAGCTTGCACTCAAATGGCTTTTCACCTGTGTGTGTTCGATTATGTCTTTGCAGAGAAGAATTTAGAGCAAAGGCTTGAGGGCATTTCTTACTCTTGAATGGCTTTTCACCAGTGTGTGTTCGATTATGATATCTCAGAGAAGAAATTTGAGCAAAGGCTTTGGGGCACTGCTTGCACTTAAATGGCTTTTCACCTGTGTGTGCTCTGTTGTGGTAAGTCAGACTGCTACTATAAACAAAGGCTAAGGGGCACTGCTTGCACTTGAATGGCTTTTCACCAGTGTGTGTTCGATTATGATATCTCAGAGAGGAACTTTGAGCAAAGGCTTTGGGGCACTGATTGCACTTATGTGGCTTTTCACCTGTGTGCATACGATTGTGGTAGGTCAACCTGCTACTCTCAGCAAAGGCTTTGGAGCACCACTTGCACTTGAATGGCTTTTCACCGGTGTGCATTCGATTATGTCTTCGCAGAGAAGATTTTTTAGCAAAGGCTTTGGTGCACCTCATGCATCTAAATGGCTTTTCACCAGTGTGCAAATGATTATGTAAAGTCAGGAGGGAATTAGAAGCAAACTCTTTGGGACAAAGCTTGCATTTAAATGGCTTTTTACCTGTGTGTGTTCGATTGTGGTACATCAGACTTTTCCTCCAAGTGAAGGCTTTGGGGCATTGCATGCACTTAAATTGTTTTTCACCAGCATGTGTTCGATTATGACAGGTCAGAAGGGAATTATAAGCAAACTCTTGGGAGCAAAGCTTGCACTTAAACGGCTTTTCACTCTTGTGGTTCCGAGTGTTGCCGAGCACTTGGGACGAGCCATCAAACATGGGAGGAAGCTGGCACTTGGATTGTTCATCACCATGGGCAGCCAGATGGCTCAAAATTGCATGCTGATCTCTGGTGACATAGGTGCAGGAACAGCAACCAAACCAGATGTCCTCGGTGACTTTCAGGGGGCAGCTGGCTTCCCCTAACCATCTGGCTCCATCACCTACAAGAAAATACCATATGTATTGACACAAGGAAAGCCCAACCAAGATCCAGATGCAGCTGTCCTGTTTAATAATTTGCTCCAATTTAGAGTTCGATTCACAGAAGCACTCATTTGCAGCTGGCACCATTAAGGGGAGTCTCCAGTCTTTCAGGAGAACCGGCACAACGAGGCCCTTCATGTCGCTCACAAAAGTCCACTGTGCGTCCTCTTCGACCTCACACCGTTTCAAAGAACTTGAGATCACTGAAAGGGCCCAAAGAACCTCAAACTCGAAAGTGAAGCGTTGTCTGCTTACAGCAATGGGCGGCAGATGCAGGCACGGAAAAGAGTGATTGATCACGGAATGCAGGCGACACGACACTTCAGGTCGGGATGATTCGGAGGCGTGTGAAAAGCTCGAGTTGCAGGACAACTCCATCTTTGTTGCCACTGCACTGCTGCGGGTCATGCAGAAACTTTAAGTTTGGCTTCGGGAAGTTGTTTTTTTACTTAACAAATACTGACAACTTGTTTATCGGGGGCTTAATATTTTGCGATTTAGGTCAAAGCTGAAGTTTTGGAATAATTCGTGGGTTTTAATTTTTGGGAAGCGGTGGGATCTCAATCTAGATTCCAATGTGTTTACATATTACTGGAATTGTTCGCAGGACTTACTTTTCGCGAATTGTAGACGATTCGAGAAATTTGCGATAATTAGGTCCTCATGAAAATTAAGTCATTTACATTACTTAGTTCCGAACTTCTGAATCTGGAGGGTAATGTCCAGGCATCGGTTTTAAAGGGCCCATGAAACAAAATTTAGGCCAGGATAAATGAATTTAGATTGGGATTTTACTGATAGCATATCGTTTAGTGGACAAAAATAAAAAAGGTAGAAAGTCAAAAGCCTGACTTTTAGTACGAAAATCTGAAAATACTGAAGACTATTTCGTACCTCCTTCCCCTCGAAAGCTCTCTGCTTTTTCAATGTGAAACATCCACGGTACCTGAAGTGCGCCACCCGGCCCAAACGCACGTCACGCGACACTGGACCTCACTTATCCCCTTCACCTTTAAGCTAACACTGCAGTGGAAGCTGTGCGCTTGCCGGACCAATCAGCTGCCTCCCTTGCATCAGGTGACCTCGTTCTCAGGTGGGTATGCGCGAGGGCGCGTGATCAAGTGGCAAAAGTGTGGCTGGCCAAACGAGCACGTAGCTTCCACAGCACTGTCTGCTTCGGGGTGAATGGATTGCGGAAAGCAACTTTTGTTCCAAGTTCTAAGCGACAGCCTAGTCTTCTAGGAGGAGAATGGCGGTGGTCCAGGTACACAAACGAGAATCCCAGCAAGAAGGGTTTCCCTTTTTTCCGTCTTCTTGAACTGTTTGGTACAATACGCGATTTGTGAGTTAAGGAGAGAACTTAATGAGGAAAAAGTTGAAAAATTGTTTCAAGTAATTTCAGATTAAAAAAATATTTTTCACCTGCCAGAGCCCTTTTAAGGAGATAAATACAGGGCAGCAAAAGACACGTACAGGGCTAGATTTGGAGATGCAGATAAAATGTGCCCTATATGCAAAGAAGAGGGAAACATTTGAACTTGCAATTCTAAAATGTAAAAGCTTAGAGCTGCCATTCCCAAAGGGGCGACAGACATACCGGGTGCCCCGAGTTTCACTGCAGAAGGTGGAAGTGTGGATTACAGTAAAGTAGACGCAATAATTAGGAGGTTAGAGTACCGGTAGAAATTATCTGGGGAAAACTGAACGAAGAACTAAGTAGCACAGATGGGGGACAGGAGGAAGATTGAGACTCCCTCCCTCGTGTCTCTGGAGCAGGGTCTCAACCCTGTGCCCCAGTGGGTCTGGTGTTGGAGCGACGCCAACTAAAGATTGGCGACTCCCTCGATGGGGGAAAGAAAAGGGGGTGCGCGTTTCTTGTTTGTTTTGCCCAATTCCTTAAAAAACACAAGCAAAGGAAGAAAAATTTAAACAGCCTGGATAGGAAAAGGAAGTCGTAAATACATAAATAAAACTAATTTACAACAAACAAGGAAAATTTTTACATCTATATTTACGGCATGAAACAAATTTGTAGTTAGCGCCCGCGGGCACCCCCGGAAAAGTGGCCGCTATTTATCGCGTGACTGGCCGCTATTTATCGCGTGTGGCTTGGACTGCTTCGGAAGCTTCTTATGGTCTCTAAAAGTTACTTATTAATCTTCAGTTGAAGTACAGGAAAGAACAAATATTAATAATAACTTTTAGAGCCCAAAGGAAGAAAGAGCTCAAGCACCACGTGATAAACATGCGTGCCGGTCAGAAATAACGGTGGAGGCACGCCGGAGTGTTCCCTTCCGGTGGCTGCGGCAGCGGCGTGGAGACGCATTTAACCAGCGGCGCACAACACTCAGCGCGCGTCAGCGGTGTAGCGCGGCGGCGCACAGGTCTACCACGTGATCAGCGGCGGCTCCTGAGGGCGTCAGCTACAAATTTGTTTCACATCGGAAATATAGATCTACATTTTTTTTCTTAGCTGTAAATTTGTTTTCTGACATTCTTTTTCTATCTAGGCTGTTTAAAACAAGCATTTCTTTTTCCTTTGCATTTGTCCTTCAAAGGTCATCCCAGCAGTCACCCCCCGGCCTGGTGATATTTACAGAAATGCATTGACCAAAAGGGGCAGAATCACATATTTCTATGTTTTTAATTTCGGTGGCACAACCTAATGCCCGTTATAAAGGGAAGAGCTGTTAATACGCATCCTTCTATCCATCCAGATTTTTGACCAAACATGTAAACATGGTATTCTTATATAATTAAACAAAGGCAAAACTTTCTGGGCCTAAGAGTACTTCCAATCGGACTGCCCTTTGTGTATGTTTCAATGAGCAAGAGTCGGCAGCGCATCTCTATAGTTTTTCTTTAAGTAGAATAGGAAAAAGTATGTCAAAAGGATAGACTATGGATCAATGAGTACCAAAATCATACTAGGCCAAGTATAAGCACAGTTGCCCATTTGGCCTCTGCTGAAAGTTGTGTCCCTATGCAACAGCGCATTGGAAACCAGGTCCGTCACTACGTTATCTGTCTGCGTGTCGTGACCGTTCAAGCTGGTCAAATGCTAATACCAGCAACTCAGCGGGTATTCAGCGGGTTGGCTGTTTGCCCAGCAACCTTGTGCCCTGATCAGTTTTTAACCCTTTCATGGTCACTGACATACCCGCACGTTAGTGCGGGTGCGTCCCACATGGTTGCTGACGTACATTTTCGTTCGCGACCGCTCATTCGAAAATTCCTGCCTCTGCATGAACAGGCGCGCTCGCGGGGACGTGCTGCCATCTCATAGGGTTGTAGGGAACTACGACCGCATATCTCCCGTCGTGTTTGTTTTGGAGCGGCTTTCGAAACTGCGAAACTGGACGCTCTGTGCACGCGATAGCTTTCGAGATGACTGCGCGTGCCAGCTGCTCCAGAGGTAGCGGAGATTGGAGCGATGGCTCTTCGGATTAAGATTTTGAACCCTTCTCGGATTTTGAGTCGGACGACAGCTCGACATCCGACGAAAAACTGCAAACCAGCTCGGAATCGGAATCCAACACAGCCGTACCGTCTGCTGGACCGTTTCGGAAGCGGGCGTGTCAAAACGAAACCGACTGGAAAAAAGGTGAAGACTTCTCCCCATCTATATTTCCATTTGACACGTCTCATTCCAGACAGCCTGCAAGCACTCTACTCCAGCCAGATGCGAAAGAAGCAGATTATTTCAAACTCTACTTCGACGAGGGAGTTATGTCTTTGATTGCAGATGAGACAAATGACTACGCGCACCAGCTGATCGCACAGCCCGCCCTCGCACGGAAATCGCGACTGAAAGCATCAGCAGACGTTGGTCTCGCTGAGATCTACTGCTTTCTGGCAGCTGTTCTGCTGATGGGGCTCAGCCGAAAAAATGCTGCGAGGGATTACTGGACCATTGACCCAATGACTGAGACCCCCTTTCTTTCAAGGCTTTTCTTAGTAAATCGCTTCTGCCTTTTGCTGAGAGTGCTTCATTTCAGTGCCAGCACTGAAGCAGCAGATAGACTAAGAAAAATGAGGCCACTCATGGAGACACTTCAGGCAAAGTTTGCGAGTCTCCTGGTCCCGTACCAAGATCTCTGTATCGATGAGTCGATGATGCCCTGGAGAGGACGTCTGTCATTTCACCAGTACCTCCCTTCAAAAAGGCACCATTTTGGAGTGAAGATGTTTGTTCTGTGCGACGTGATGACCTGGCACATCTTGAGGTTCATCGTATATACTGGAGCTTCCACGACAATGACGATGATGAAGGAGGTGGGATTTTCGGGCTCAGTTGTCCTCGAGTTGCTCAACCACTATCTCGGAAAGGGGCAAAGGGGCATTCTCTTTTCGTAGACAACTGGTACACCAGTCCGGCGCTTTTCCAATATCTTCAAGGAAAGCAAACCAATGCTTGCGGAACAGTTCGACAGAACAGAAAGGGACTTCCCAAGTTCAAAAAAAAAAAAGATGAGAAGGGGGAGAAGTAGTCATTTCATGCCGATACACTTCTGGCACTGAAGTGGTGTGACAAAAGGGAAGTGCATATGTTGACCTCAATGCATGGAGCTCATCTTGAGGACACTGGCAAGGTGGACAGAAGAACAGGCACTCCGCAGAAAAAGCCAGCATGCGTACTCGAGTACAACCAGAAGATGGGACTTGTGGACAAAGTAGACATGGAGCTGAGCTTCACTGAAAGCATCAGGAAGACGCTGAAGTGGTACAAGAAGTTTTTTTTTTCACCTTCTGGACATGTCTTTGTTGAATGCATTCCTTCTTCACCGTGAAAAGAGTGCCTCCAAGATCACGTTCGCCGAGTTCAGAAGAAGAGTCGTATACCAGCTCGCTGAGGAGCATCATATTGAGAGGCGGAAGAGTGGAAGGCCCAGCGGAGACAACCCAACGAGGCTGACAGCCCGACACTTCCTCGAGAGGGTGCCACAAACATCGGCGA